TTGTGACAACTGTGACAAACAATACTGCAACAAAGCGCGCACAGCTGTCATCGAAAGTGACTTTGTCGCTGTCGCTCGACACATCTGTCGAGGCACAAGCGGCAGTGATGAAAGGATTGGGGCCACATTTGAATTATTTTCTCAAATGAAACGTGACGAATTCGCGTGTCATTTAGCATTAAGTCATCTATCCTCGGGAAAAAGGACGTCGGTTTCGTGATTTATTAAGTAAAGCGTGTAAAATGGCAGCTTACCAAACACAACGTAAAATACAGGCTGCGGGTCTGTTGCTCAGATCGTGCACAGTGACTCGATGAAACTCGAAAATAATCGGCCAAGGAAACTCAGATGAAAATCTTGCAAATGTGGCTTTTCCCTCTCTAACTCCATTCCATTTCATGAACCATAACGAAAGAACTGTTATCACGATGTGATACGTGCAAATGAGTAAGAGTAGGTTACCTCCAACAGTAATTTCACACGTAATAAAGCCGAAATACAATGACTGATCTGTCAACAAACAGAAATAGTGCGATGTCCTGGATCGGTCAATGCCGGGGCTAGCGAGACGTACGATCATGCAGTCTGATGCCTGGGCATTGCAACTGCAACTCGCCTTGATTCACATTTGTGCTGAACTCCACGGTCCTCCCGTAATTTTTGCCTCAGCTTGAGATGAAAGTTGAATTTAGCCAGAAAGTTAGGTAAAACTTAGCTTACCACCGCACGTGTCTCTCGGAGCGCAGCTGGCGCTGTGCAGATAGAGGAGAACCACGGCACAGACGAAGACGACGACGTTATTCATGACGACTATCACGAACTCAAGCTTGCCGCACCGAACTCTGGTTTGTAGACGCGATCCGGCCGCTGCCCTGATCTGTGAATTCAGCTGGGTGTTGACGACAACTAGCTGGTAGCATAACCGCTCGATTCGACAGCAACAAAAAATAGTCGGTCACATGCAATGATTCATAAGCGATCAGGTGACAGCAGAAGTTTCCACTCGGCTCGACTCAACCATGCGTTCCTTTTGGAACAACCTATCCATTTTCGAAGCTCGCTATTCGTCTTAAGTTGCAGAGCAGAAACCCTGGGAAGTGTTGCCAATGGTACCTCTCTTACCTTATCTCCAATGAGGTAAACTTCAAGGGCTAGATTTTAGGGCGCGCCAATGCTAAGTGCTAATGCTATGTTGTCCCAGGTTAGGCCTCAGTACCTTCCATATAACTTTTCCTGTATAATCCGCTTTGTGAATTTCTTCTATATTAACCTGATCGTACTTTCAAGAGATGGCAATTATGAACTCGCAATCTTGAGAATTAGCGACTCACAGGCGAGAGTATCTTGAACTTGTCAGTTCCGGACTTTATCGAGTTTCTTCGCACCAGTTTTTCGATGAAACTGATTTCCGTCGCTTGTGTCCGAGATCACAATCCTTCGGTCAGTGTTAAAGAATCACTGTCATCAGTAAGGATAGGTACCAATACTAACTTAAAGACGGGTGTCTTTACATTAGCACACGACTATTTCCCCGCAATCCATTTTAGATTCTTCCCCACTGCGCTTTTATTGCAGAACCATGTGCCGATTTGCAAGTCATCTTTTCTGTCACCTGTTAATACTGCTCCAGGATACTTAAATTTCAATATCGCCTCAGTTACATTCAATCTTCCAACAGAGAATATTAAGTGGTGTTTCTGAAGAATCGAATAAAAGCTTTCTGATTTCATGCGTCATATCTGTTTGTCCTTTGAATAGCAGATGAAGGTTTAACGTGGAGTATGGCACAGTTGTCCAAGAGGTCGGTTTCGAACACCTGAGGTGCGAGTCCGATTCCGATGAAAGGCAATCACTGTTTAATTCCTCGAACTCCCTCGAACAAAAAATTTACCACGTGTTTCTTCAGATCGGCGTTGCTTAGTCGGCATGGCGTCAAATATAGTACCGATATGTCCTGAGTTCAAGCCCATGTCAAGGTCACTCACCGTTCGTCCTTCCGAGGTAAATAAATCAGTACAATTCTGTGGTAAGGAAACAGAAGACCGCCTTGCGTTTGCAACATGGCTGTAGATTCTGTCTTAAAAAATAAGGTGCTCCTGACTGATAGCATAGAAATGGAAATCGGCACGCCACATCAACTTCATGAAAAGAAGGGCGTCAAAATGACCCAATCATGAAAATGAAGAATGACCGACTTCTTTTCCTTTCCTTTCAATGCGATGCTTTGGGATTTTATTGTCAAGTCCAATTTTACTGCCAGTTTGAGCTTAAAAGGTTTTCACTGTAGTTATTTTAATGATCTATTGAAATTAAACTTAGTGCACGAATATTCTTGATTAACTGGTAATTGTTTTTTAATTTAAAAATAAAGTCACTATGATACATGTCTGTTTTTATTTCTCTATCACCATATATAACCATGTCTACATTTTGAATATTAAATTGATGCTTTGAATTATCAGGGATTGGAAACTCTCATAGGTAGGCAATCAGTCTGGAACATATGCACCATAGATAACCTGAGAATACATTTCCCTGTTTACTGTGTTCTGACCCATTGCTAATGTCGATGTATTATTATGCAAAAATGACTTATTTGTCAGGACAGGATCAGGAAATCTAACTGAATGCCGACCGAATTGAGCACTAAGCTACATGACCGACTGCTACTGGTCCTGCCCCAGCTAACTTGCATAGACCGAGAAAGGAACAGTATTTATTTAAAGAAATAATAATAAATAACAGTAATTTAAACAACCAGGACAAATTATTACAAATTAAAATATACAAAATGTTACGAGTTGGAAAAATGTGAAGTCAGATGGAGTAACTTTTACGAAAGTTCGTTTAATTGCTTGACGTTTACGATGACGCTAGGATCGCTTGGCGATATGCGTTGCTTCCACCGTTGACACATGTTCATATGACCATTCTGTTGTG